TATTATTATTATTATTATTATTATTATTATTATTATTATTATTATTATTATTATTATTATTATTATTATTATCATTATTATCATTATTATTATTACAAATGAAAACATAAGAAAGAAATATGATGAAGTAATAATATATAAAATGCTTGTAGTACACCACGTAGAGGTGTTCTGAAATTGTTCTAAACTATCTACGTGGTGTTCTATAAGCATTTAATATAATTGCACTTGGTTATATAACTTACTGAGATTTTCGCATGATTGGTAGTCGTTAACGTTTTCCACAATATTACAACACACGTATTCATCTTGGCATGAGTATCCAACTTCCTGGTTATCTGTCTCTTATACACATCTAGATGTGTATAAGAGACAGGGTTTCTATAGGCCTAATAGTGTTACTGTTTTAATATTATTATTTAAAAAAAACAAAAAAACAAATTGTGTATATGGCATACATTTGTCTATTTCAATTTATAGCGCATCGTTCAAGCACCTATCCAGGAGCGGCCAAGCGGTCCGAAGGTTTGGGTAGCCTATAGGCCTAACTGACATTGAAGCGAGAATGTTTTTAATTTTAAGTCTATTATAAGCAATTCAATAAAAGAATTTTTCTTAAATCGATATTTTTTGCATTTTTCTGAATTCTTCGCACGGGGCTAGATCACGGCTTCTCGTTTGGGGAACTTGACCTGGAGAGCAGATGCGGCGCCAATAATTCCCTGACGAGGGATCCACGCTTCCCAACAAGAGTGTCCACCCCATCGGGGATGTCTTGTGCTCCCCGGGGGAAAGTTAAATTTGTCGGGTAATTCAAAAAATAAAATTCGTGTGAGTTTATTTGAAAAAGATAATTTGATAGTAAACCATGTAAGTTAACAGTTCCCCTGTAGGGGTGCATTAGTCCCCCTGTAGGGGTGTATTAGTCTCCCTGTCGGGGTTACTAAGCCTCTGTCGATGGTACCAGTTTTCCTGTCTGGGAAGAGCTGGCCTCACCGCGACCCACCAATACGATGCAATATACCACACCTCGCACATAGGGTACAACTGCTTGCCCCAGACAGTTTTTAGTCACTAAAATTTGAAAACTTAGTAAGGCATGCTTGAATTGTACTTTCCGCGAAAGGTAACATGTAATTTTTTTTAAAGAAGATATTGAACAACATTTAATATGCTGTTATTGAACCGAAAATATTTTGAATTATATGCCTATTATAAGCAACTCAAAAACGTTCAGAGTTTTAAATTAATTCTATTCATTTTTTTTTTTTTTTTTGCTTTTTTTTTGTCTTGTTTTTTCCCCATGATGACAAGTCAAAAACTGTATGTGTTTTTTGGAGAGTGCATATTATATTCGCTAATTTTGGCAATATAAAAATGCATGACAGTTGTCCATTAACTACTGCCTGGTATAGAAGTATCTGATAACCTTAGCCTATTTTTTGGATATAGGCCTACTTTCAAATAGCAGATGTATTTGTTGTTATAGTGAGTTATTGAATGTTAATGAAAATAAGTGCTTGTCGAAACCTCCAATATAGTTAATGGCAGATTAACTAATAACAGATTTACTGAAACCATACAGTTTTGGAAGTTATCGTTTATTTTGAAGTCTGGAATTGTTGAAAATTTAATACAGGAGGAATTATTGGCGGCGTGATTCAATGGATGTTACACTTGTATAGGCCTATAAGAAACTATTTCTGCTCTGATCATTATTTGTTCATTTCTTTGTTATATTTCACTGAATCAGTACACGTCTATCCTTTCTGGAATCGTTAAATTGGTCCGATAGTATTTAGTACGGGTCGGTTTCTATGGGGTGGGGGTGGGGAATAGAACGTTTCACTATAATAATTATTGTAATTATAATTATAATACTATGTTATATTAAATAATAAAATTAAAATAGAACATAATAAAAAAGGAAATGTCCGAAGCTGTTCGAAGGGTCGGGCGTCTAGCTGACCAATCGGGCTATTGTGCTGAGATAAATATTTTGGTTAGGAGAATCTAGAATAATATTTTATAAAAAAAATATTATGTTTTTCTAAATATTCGGAATTTTGTAAAGAACAGTGTTCTTCCGAAGCCGGATTTTGGGTCCCCGGCTGTGATTTCGGTCTTCCTCAGCCTATCGAGTGTGAATTCGGCCTTCCGGGAGCACGGATTTTTTCCCCCACGGGACCAGTAAACGGCCCCTCGTTTGGGTAATAATTATTTTTATATGCTGACCATTTGACATTGGATCGAGAATGTTTATGATATTCTAAGTATATTATACCAATTCAATATAAAAATTTTCAAATGAATTATCTTCATTCGATATTTTTGAATTTTTTCCAAGATGATAAATCAAATACTGTGGTGTTTGAATAAAAATAATTCGTTGCTGAAACACATTTGATTTAATTTGTACATGATCGTTTTAATATTTCGTCATTATTAATAATAATAGTAATAATAATAATAATAATAATATAATAATAATAATTAATTATAAAAAAATCCTAATGACTTGTAATAAACAACGAAATATTCGATCAATATTGCTTCACTTATCAGTCTTTCAATTAAAAGATGATAATTTAATAAAAAAAATGTTGGTCTATAAGTGTATCATTCCGGCATCAGGACAGCAAAAGTGGCCCCGAGGGTCAGGTGCCTACCTGACCACTAGGGCTTGTACTGAGATATTTTTTTTGTTATAGTATTTTTTTTTAATAAAAGTTTTTTTAAATAAACATTTTTTCTAAAATCTAGTAATTGATATGTTGTTCAGTGTTGCGAAGCCTAATTTACCGGTGTCACATTGTTTTTTCCCCGTGGCCGTAATTTCGTTCTTCCTAAGCATATCGTGAGTGAATCCGGCTCGAGATTTTATTGATTTTCCCCCGACGACCTTGCTGGAAATTCCCCGACAGGAGGATCCAAGCGGGGGTCCTTTCCCCTACCCCCTCCCCACCCTCACTAGCGCGGCCCCTGTCTGGTCGACCGAACCTGATCGGTGAAATGAGTTTTTAGTTAATGTTATGCATTAATCACTTTTTTTTTAAACTATTATCAAAATAATATTCGCCACTTACAAAATAGTATTTATTGATGATGGCTTACGCAACTCACTCGCGGGGGAGGTGGAGTGTGATAGAGAAGGTGTTTGTCCTTACCTTAAAACTTGGTTTAGTCAAATCTTCAGTAGTCCAACCTCGTTTAGAATGTTTGAACGAAGTGTCTGCTAAAGCTATGGTCAGACAAAGAACCATGGACAACCATACCAAAATAGACATAGATCTAGGCATGATATATGTATATGTATATATATACACACATATGTTAATGATGATTTACTAAACAGTTCGTGGTTTTAAAGTAGTTGTCCTATCACGTTTTTAGTAACTTTAAATATCTTCTGATAAGTCTATGTTTGTCTAAGCATAGTTTATATATCTATTTACTAATAACAATGAGATAAAAGGGGCGATAGGAATGGAATAGAAGTATGGGCAATAAAAACTATAAAGACTAGAAGACATAATACAGAGCATCAGCTAGCTTGAGTGGTCAGATGTCCGTCAGAAGAAGAGAAGGGTTGAAAAGTGGAGTAACTTGGAATAAAGAAATTAAATGTTATGTTTAGTATATCTGAAAACAAACTTAATTTGTCGAATCTAACAAACACGAGTATTGGAATTAAGATACCATGTAGGCCTATATTATAAATCTTAAAAAAAAATTACAATAATAAATTGGGCGTTGTTATTCAGTGTATGTGCTATTAACTTACAATAAGTCACAGGTAGAAGCATTTCACACACATTCACAAATTACTACGAGAATATTTGATTTTCTCAACAGCCAATTTAATTTGCTGTTAGGCCTACTTTGGACTGTGTAACCTAACGTCTGAAAGAAAACGTACTCCTTTCAGACTGATGTAGGCGCCTGGGCGTTTATGATTTACACATGTTGTGTCTCTACTTAAATTATGTAACTGAAGTGGTGCGTTTCGCTTACCTGTTGAATCACTGTAGTAGCTGCGTGTTTGTACTGTACGTATACTGACGTTCTAACGAAATGTGCATAAAGAATTCAGCCGTATGTTGCTTTTATAGTGGCAACTCCTCGTCGAATATTTTGTCTATTCGTGTTAGTGTAAAATTATTATTTTAAATGAAACAAATACGAACTCAAAAAATGCTGTTAATGATAAGTGCCTAAAAGGATTGAGCTACAATATCTCTTCCATATATTGCAGGCGCATGAGTGGTAAATAACAAACATTTATTTATTTATTTTTTTATATTTTTGATTCATTTATGTCATTATTCCAAATTTGGAATTAGAATTGATCGAATCCAAATAAAATCCGACCTTGGCTGTTGGATTAGAACCGGGCTTGAAACTGTTGTTCAAGAAGGAACATTCGACTTGTCGATTCTATATATTTTTTTTGTTTTGTGTGGGCATCTTTATTCCAATTTCACAATCTTATTTTTCACATTATCATAACATCATCTCAATTCAAATTAATCACATTTTTCTCATTTTCACTAATATAACTAAAACATAACATTGGCATTCAGCTGAAGTAATTTCCTTAATTAGCGTTAAACTTTAAATAATACATAATAATATTACACATTACTGTATTAATATCCTTCTGATAATAATCACCCACCGTGAAATTAATATATAATGATAACCCACTATTCTAATAAAAACTACAATTTCGTGGTTTCAATGGCTTAGTTCGGTTTTAGAGTCTACTAATATGCGTGGTCTTTTCCCCCACACCCACTTTTATGTGCTCCATAATTTTCTATGGTTTACAGTTTTCCTTTAGCATTGTATACAGACTGCAGTAGTTTTATATTATGAGGTTTAGTATTTCCACGATATAGGCCTATTTGTATATTTTGTGGCCTTCCTTTCAATCAAAATAATGTCAGTCTATATGATTTGTATATTATGCTACTATTTCTAATGTGTGAAGATTAAAAAGTTGAACTATTTTAACTATAGACCTAATATCATTAGTAGAACTGTAGATTGTGTTATCTGAAGAATTTATAATTATTTATATTCTATATTATCATTGGTTTTATTTTATATGGTTTTCTTTGTCGTATACCGTAAATGCTCGAATAAGCAACGCTCTCGAATAACCGCCGCTATCGAATAAGCGCCGGTCTCCAATAAGCGCGCGTGGCGTTTAATCGAGAGTAGGCGTATAATTATATTTTCATGTGTATAATGAAACAATTTCAGAAACAGGGTTTTAAATAAAAGGTATACGGTGTTAAAATGAATAAATAACACAATGAAGACACAGGCATTTCTTTATTAACATTTCGTTAACATTATTCACGATGACGTAGGACCTATAAGAGGTCTGCTGAACTTGGAATACGTGAGATAGTTAACATGGGAACTGGCATGGAAAGCACCACGCCAATACTTATAAGCGCCGCTCTCAAATAAGCGCCGCACTAGAGCCTCCGAAAGATAAGCGCCGCGGAGCTTATTCGAACATTATCCTTCATGACATCTCAATACGCTCTATAACAACATGGAATATAATACGCCCTCTATAGGCCTTAAAGCCCCATTCCCGGCAAAATTTCACAAAATAAAAATTTTTATAGAAAAAATGCATATGCATTACTCTAATAATTATAAACAATGGAAAAATATTGGCATAAATATTCCAACTTGATCATAAACGAAAGGACAACAGGTGAAACCACATGCCATCTAACTACATTCTCTGGGTCATTGTAATATATAATAATAATAATCTCTTTATACACGGCAAAAAAACCCAAATTCAACATAGAAAATACAATATCAAACAAGAAATTGTAAAAAATTGTTTTTCCTTGAGTCCGTGATTCATTAATTAACATTAACAATAATTATATAAAAGTTAAAATATTAACAATAAATTCATCACAATAAATATTATCAATAATAATAATAATAATAATAATAATAATAATAAACAGCAGAAAACTACAGATAAAAAACCTATTAAATTTAAGGTAAAACAATAAAAGACACGAGAATTCTCAAAAAAAGCATAAAAAACTATAAGATAATCAGGGGTAGAATACAGTGACCCGGATATGACAAATATATTGGATACCCAAAATCAGACAGTCTGTAAGATCGATATTTAGAAAATGTGTTCCCTGCATATCCGTTATATGGAAAAGCATATACCAGCCCAGATAGCCCACTCCTTCCAATATGTCGTATCAAAGAATGTCAACCCTTTAATATTACAGGGGTAGATTTCAGCGGAGCAATTTATTACAAAGATTCCCACCCTAGCTAGTCACCCTATTCACCCCTCTAGATCCGCCACTGTGTTAATGATCGACCCATTACATACGGTATATACTGATTCAGACAAAATAACACCCTTAACACCCTCATTCTTAATTAATGGTCGCTTAATATCCCTTTATCCCCATCTTCCGTTGGAGGAGGATCTTATCGATCCTGATTTTACAATTACACAGGCTAAAATAATTAGACATAGATAAGCGCAAACACATGACAAATTGTTTGAAACATGGAAAAGATGGCGTTATGAATGCCTCCATGCCTTGCGGGAAGACCACCAAGCAAATACTAAGAAAACAGTAAATAGGCGACATATTCATTCTGATACAGAGAAACGATTAAGTTGGCACAATTTAGTCTATATCAAGGAATAAAACAATCTACAGCTGACCGACCCGACGCAAAGCTGCGAGATAAGCCAGAGAAAATTTAAATCTTATGTTTAAGTAGTTTAATTATTAGTTTCAGTTAAGTATGGTTAAGTGTATAAAAAGCTATATTAATTATATAATCATATCAAGTATTATTATGTATTCCATGTATGACATAAACTATGTTATAGGCTTAATATTCATTTTGATTTTAACAATGACGATCATTTTTTTAAATATATGTATAGCTAAGTATTATGATAAAATGTATTGACTTATTTTCGATTCAATTTTAATTATAATTTCCATAATGCATGTATAACTGAGATAGAAAAGACGTAAACACAACGCAATGATATTGTTAATGTCACTAATGTATAAGCCAAACCTGGCCGCCCCGAATGTCAGCAAAGCCGATGCTATAAATTGCATATCATAGATATTTCATCCTTAATACTAATAATTAATTCATTGTTCTTTGTTATTAATCAGTACCAAAATGAAAGTCCACTCTTTACCGTGATAATAAGTTATTACACATATCTGTGGTTGTATGAGAACTTAACTACAGACCAATGGCAACATCTTAAGACAAAACCACATCCTCTACCAAACATATATGCATTATGATGTTTGCTACTTGTGGAATGTATACCACACCCATTTCATCTTGTACGTATTGTGTATACTATAATGAACAAATTAGTCACTTGTTAGGTACCATACAGAACAGTTGTATGTTTCTTCTGTGTATTTCGACTTGCTTATACATACCTGTTTGAACCTACCGATATCCGACAACGACGACGACGACAATAACAACTAGACTTATACTATGTATGTTTGTAAAGCAGAACATAGGGCGTTTCCTCATTGCTATAATGAGACGTGATGTTTAAAAAAAACTCATTTGAAAAGTCTAGCTTAAAATAACACACGAAAAACAAAAATGACATCTTTCAGAAAAGTATGAAGTTAAAACACGTGAAAACTAAAAGGTACAAGCACGGAAAGTGACCCTGTGTGGCTCAGTGCATTTTTAGTTACAGTGATTAAAAGTAAAATTTCAATGCGTTTAACCTATATGCAGCTGGTTTAAACGCTTTAGAAAACGCAAATTGCGTCTATATAACTTAATGAAATTTCCAAAAAAAAGATATATGTATTTAAATGGTCTTCATATTTACACCCTACTCCGGATCCTCACCAGCATTTAATCATTTCTTCATTGGACCATGAAAAATTATTCTGGAAAGTTTCATTTAGATCCATTTATAAGTTTTTAGAGATATTTAGATCGGAGACCTTAGCTATTTTAATGACCCTGGAACTTACACCCTAATTTGGATCGTCACTAAAATTTAATTCCTTCCTTGTAACATGGTTAAGGTTTCCAGAAAGCTTCATTTAGATCATTTGTTCTGTTTTTGGTATATATGGACGTCTACAGTTAAATGGCCGTCATGTCCACAACATACTTCTGATCGTCGCCAAAATATAATAATTTCTTTATTGGACCATGACAAACCATCCTGCAAAAATTATTTTTATCCATTCTCTCTGATGTTAGCATTAAAAATTA